CAGGTCCACGTATTTGACTTCACGTAGCCTGAATGGTAGTCGACGTGGGGCTTTAGTTCTGGTGATGCATAGATCAGTGGTTATTAAACTTGATGTACCAGCGGATCCCTTATGCTTCTCTGCAATACCTGCTGACCCCCTAAATTTTCTAATATGAAACACAATAGAAGGACATAGAATTGAGCTATTCCGAAAACATTCAAATTAGCTGCCACTCGCCGCGTACGCAAATAACTCACTGAATTATCTCATGTGATCTTCCACTTCAAGTTTGTACCTTGCTTTCGTGTTGATTTGAAGAACTAAAAAAAACACGTTCACATAAGCAAGTGGAGACGAATGAGATGGTGATTTTGAATGCAATGGCGTTATACTCACAACTACTTGTTTTTGTGCGATCAAAGAGTGCAGATGCAATAAAAGAATTATCAACCTTTTTTTTTTGATACTGGAGGCCTAAATTGAGATAACTCTGAGCATTTTGCTGCTAATAGAAGAAATGTGAAAATTACAGTGCAGGTGATTTGACGCGATCGCTGAAATGCGGTCACGGAACCACAGCACGGTGCGAATTTTTTGATTTTGATGACGTCACCACATAGAAATTTAAGTAAAAAACGAATTCTATAGAGCACACACAAATTTTTAAAATAAGTTGAATGGCCTTGTAGCGACAACAACAATCTTTAACCATTGAAAATGGAAAAGAAGATAGCGAACCCTATGTTTTGGCGCGGAAAACATCCTTCTCATTTTTACAGCGTTTAACGAAGACCTTTCGGACTTAATTAAGCCAAAGTTCAGGCTTCAATAACACGCTAATGTTAGTGAATATGTTAGTGAATGGACGATTTCCGTATTTTAGCAACTTAGAAAATATGTAAGGTAATTTATATTTGGATTTTTTTTAGTATACAAGCGCAAAACGTTTTGAATGAACGCTCACGCAAAGCAGTGCATAGTTTAGAAACACCATCTGAATAAAGATGGCTATGTCGAGTTGTTGACCCATTAGTTAGAAAGCAAAGCAATTAGTAACAAAATCGTTGGTACCGCGTCCTCGTGAAATGAATATCAAGTTTGTTGAGAGCGTTCAAATAATTTCTACCTTCAGCGCAATTGTTCTCACTAGCTAGTCGTTTCCTTCTTTCCCACATAAGACGCTTTGCAAGAACTGCTCCAATTTATGGCAGTTTTAGGATATAAAATGGTGCTAAGTATTTCCCATCATTGTTCCCGCTAGTTAAACGCACGTCAGAGTTTTGAGAAAACTGCTTTAAATGTCATTGTATTGGGAAATAAAATTAAATAGAATAATTATTTTATATAACTAAGGACACTTATTAATTATTACTTTTCCAATGTTTACCCAAAGTTCAAGCTTGATAATATGTAGAAACGTTTGCTCATATTGAAGTTTATATTCCTAATTTTCTATATTTTTTTAGTTGCCGGAGATTTCTTTTATACGATCTTTATTGATTTAAAATTATCTTAGTTTGTTTTAAATAAACTCCGTAAGTTCATTTAATTTAATTAAACATATGAAGAAAGACTATATATTCTCAATACATCGAGCAGAGAACATCAGTTTGTTCGCTGGGTAGGAGGCAGCTTATCGAATATTTAGAACAATAATTATTTTCAAATCCAGTTCTCTGTACTGACGTAATAAGCAGAAAATATTTCCAAGTCAAATATTTTCCAATTCAGTATTTCATCTAGTTTTGAGAAAAACTCTTTAAACGTTCACACTTATAAGTCAATATGAGGAGATTTCTTGTATCGATCATGCTGTCTGCCGCTGTAATGTTGATATTCCTTGATGGCACATACGGACGACAAGGTTTGCTAGATTATATTTGTTCAGTGAAGTTTTTAATTATTGGACATGAATTTTGACGTTCTACATTTACCCGAACACTAAGTTTTGTTAGAAATCTTTCATATGAGCTGAAATACCGTCCAACTCTAACCCACATGCTGCAACACATAACCTTGCAGTAAAATTTCTTTATCGAAGATGCCGTGTTTCAAATGAATTGTTTCACACCATGCATCATTTCCATATTCAATATAATATTCAATTAGATGTAACTAAAACTATAGATTGCCAATTATTTGGCATGACCAATGTTTGTCTTAGCAAATTGTCGTGAATGACTGACAGAATATTTCTAAATTGTTTTTTATTTTATCCAGCATGTTACAATGACAAAGATTGTGATTCTGACCTATTTTGCAATGAAGATAAAGGAGAGTGCATAGGTAAATTCTGATATAATGCATCAATAACGTCCTGAGGGTTGAATATGATCAAATGAAAATAGTATATGGAATATTACTTCCTCGGAATAAGCCTCGGAATAGCTTATTCCGGTTCAAAAAAAATATTTCATAGTGCGGTACTATTTTTTTTTTTCATCCCATCACACAAACCAATGTAATTGTCAGAAAATTGCACGCTACTCAACATTCTACTATTAGAGTCTTGCTTAAATTAAAGATCGACTATTTCCATATTCAGTATAATACCAATCATGCATTGGTAAAACTATCGATGACCACTTTTTGCACTACGTTATTTGGCTTACTTGATTTTTGTGAATGTCACAGTTTCGGTATATATTTAATTTGTCTTTTAAGCTGAATGTAAAACAGATGTAGACTGTGCTTCTGAAAAAGTTTGCTACGAGAGTGGTTGTTATTATAAAGGTAAATTTTAATATTATAAATCAGAAATTTTAATTCCTACACATACCTTCGTCCCGCATTCGATACTAATAACCAAATTCCATTGGGACTCCATCGCTAGCATCATTCAGACCACTTTTATGCTACATCATTGATTCATAAACTAAACTACCAACAAGTTTATTGTTGTATTTTATTTATTGCTTCATGTTTGGGGAGAAATGTTTGACCCAAGCAAGATTGAGCCGAGTCTATTATGTCCATACTCAACACTCAACCATAACTCTTTTTGAAACTGCTTATTTTTGTTGAACTCAACACAAAGTCTAATCTGCGAGTAAAAATTGTATTTTTGTCATCAATTAGCGCGACGAAGGAGATAAAGATCTAATATCATAACAGCAGACTCATGTATAGAAATATCGTCTATAGACTTTTCATGTTTTAGATTAATGACTGATGACCACGGATCACTCAGCGTTTTGCAAAGAGAAAGAATCAATGCAAACAGAGAAAATAAATTTGCATAGAATTTACTAAGTATAAAATAATAAAATGTCCAACAACAATATTGTTTGTGATCTTTTTAATTGGCATTCGGACCATGTTAGAGGTCTTGGACGATCATGAAACAGCATTAGAAAATTTATTCATCCATGCGGGAGCGTAGCCCAGAATTTTAACTGGTGGTGGGGAGTCTGAAATTTCTAATTGCCAAGTTAGAGAGTAACAGATAGCGGGCATACCGCTGCCAAATAAAGCATGTCCAGAAATTTATAACTAGATAACTATCGGCTTATCGGGGCTAGATACTTATCGGGGTAATCAACGCCGAGTCGGAGAAAAGTCTTTATTGTTTCTGTCAGCTTGCTGAACGTGTGTTGCAAGTTTGTGATGATTCGAGGAGGCAGCGTGGGTAATTGTTTACAGTTCTAGAATTTGTACTGATGTTGAAATTGGGGCTGTAACAGGATTAATATAACGATAAATTTAACAACTTTATACTTTTCGAGCTTATAGATATCTTTCACCCTTCGCAAACCCCGAGTCAAAGTTTCAAACAGCGTATTTTACAGATTTTCGATCATTCTCAGCAAAATAGGAAATTAAAAGTGAGACTATTTGGTTGAGTCTATCGTACCATTTCAAACAATATTAAAAGCTTTTGAAATATCTGAGGAAATTGATTGAGCTTCACCTCTTCGATCTAATTTGTCGTGTGTTATTCAGTTATAATTAGTAACAAATCAGGCATAGAACATCAACGACAAAAGTCCTATTGCTTGTCATGTGAATGATCATATATGATTGTGACTATACTTATCTGCGTTGATAATATATTCGAATACTTTGCTTATGGTTGGCAAATGACTTATGTTATAAGTAATACTTATCAGAATCCTTCCTACCTCTGCTATATTTAAAATCGTGAACATTGACAATCCATAACCAGCAGTTTAAAAAAGACAACACAAATGTTTGCTAAAAAATTTTGGTAAAATCTGAAATATTTCGAGGAAATATTTGAACTTGGTCGAGATGTCAATCAGTCGAAATTCCCACGGTGGAAATCAGTCAAAATATTAGCGATAATTAAAGAATACTCTCATTCCCCGTCGAACACTCCCTTCGTTGTCCTTTTTCAATGCATTGTAGATCTGAAAGCTACAACTGGCGAAAACATCCTGTCTCGCTTCTTTCAGGTGGGCAGGAGCTATCTCCAAATACGAAGAATGGTAGCACTATAAACTCATCTAGTGAATACATACAGTATAAACACAAAGCGTTGCTGGCATAGTTTACTCAACTCAAAAGTAAATTGTTGCAATTATTCAAAGCTGCTTGGTTGAGAACCACTTCATTCTACATCAGGCCTGCCCAACCTTTCCCATTGTCGCGGGCCACTTTCACGCAAGAAAATTTAATGAGGGCAGCAAACGTTTTTACTAAACTTGAACACTAGCCAAGTTCTGATTCACGTTAGAATTTACAAAATACATGAAAAGCGAGTTTAGAATAGGACTGGGCAAAATATTCGAATATCGTGTCGAATATTAGAGTAACAGTTCACTGTTCTAATGTCTGGTACCGCGTTACCTGTGCATGACACGTCACTTGCGCGTCGCTGAATCAAACGCTTGGACAGCACAACTTGATAGGCCAAACTCGAGTAAACTTTTCCAATTGATATCTAAACTAAAGCACCTGAATGGCACATTCATTTAAATCTCTGAATACAACTTCGCAAGGACAAATAAATAATACAAGTCACTAAAAGTCGTGTATTGATTTCAGTGCCACAAAATTCAGAATAATAGTTGAATAATAAGTTTTTTGAAATCTACACAAAAAGGAAAATAAGCAATTAAGTTTCACACTATTCACATGATAAATGAATAGGTATTTTAGCAACTTGATGGTAATCTTTGATATCTTGAATTTTCTCAAATTATGGAAATATCTATTGATAATAGTTTCAGACCACAAACTTTGAATCAAAAATTCTTTTTTCTTTGTTTCAAATGTCCGGCAAACAAACATCAATGATCAGAGTTGGCGACGGCACATGAGTGAGCAAGAAATCTAGGATCCTTATGAATAAGATTGATACTACTTGTGTTTCGGTCATATTTGTGAAGTGCATCATTACTGAAAAAAGAAATAATGAACATAGGTCAATTTTGTGGTGCTCAATTTACTAATTTTAAACGTTGCAATAAAATCGTGGTAAAAGCGTATCGGCCTGTACTTTTAGAATATTTAGTATATTTTGTATTTTTTTTAGTATATTTTATAGCATTTTTTTACGCTTACTTGATGCTATCCGTCCCAATAATATAAATTTCGTTGTTGAGAGCAAGAACGTGAAAAACGTCACAATGAAAGTTCGGCCACTGATTTGAAAGAATTATTGTTTGCCATGAATCACGTTTGATGTCGTAACAATGAAAGTCACTCTCCTCTGAAACAGAATATGCTTCCTTTATATATTTTAAAACATGTGCCACATGTAAAAGCTTCACTGATACAGAGACATATGTAAGCAGATCGTTCTGAATGCTTTTTATTATTTTCATTTTGGAATAATTTAATTGACCCTCTGGAAAAGTTTTGTGACAATCACTGATAGTTAAGAGTTTACTGCATTTTTCTACTTGGATCAATTATTTGTGCGAGCAATTTATGAAGATTTTAGTTTTTTTTAAATATAGACAAAACGGTTCATCAGAAAAGAATTTACTGTTAAAGACTTACCAGCGACGTATATCAACCCCTCCACTTCAGCTGCTGACATTCTGAGTGCTCGCCTCTTCATGGGTGCTGTGAATTTCCACGTCTGACGTTGCGAATCGTACACTTCACCTTTTCTGTAGCTGTCATCAGTCCCAGTCTTGCTACCGAAACAATATATTTTCCCTGTAAAACATGTAAAAATTGACAATAAAAACAAATAATATGAACACCACAGATTTATTTGGGATTGTAATCGTATTTTATTTGTTGATATATTGAGTTTCAGGCAATAGTTTGACAATAGGTAAATATAAATTTATTTATTTATTGAGCACTGAAATAAAGATAATATCCCAATTGATGAAAAACAATTATAATGTAAATTGCAGAGTATGTAGTTCAGCGTCTACTCGAACTATTTCTTATGTCATTAGTTATGTTTGTGGGGCGCACTTGGCGACATGAAAGTATCATAATCATTTCTACGTTAAATCGTCTTTAGTGCTATATTCTTATTATAATATATTGTAATTCAATACCTCTAGCTGAAACAATGCCATGATCAGATCTTTTCAATTTCATGCGAGCTACGTTCTGCCATTTATCGTATTCAGGATCATATTTTTGGACTATTTGTATCGATGTCAGATCCGATCCACCACACACGTATATACTTCCTATAATATTGCGAACGTGGTTTAATTAGTTATCTTACTTAATTATTTCGTTCAATAGACACTCATTATTAAATAGATAAAATTACAACAGCGCTAATGAAATGTTTTGATAACAGTTTACTCTGAAATATGTTTTCACAGGACACGCTACGTTATTGAACATTCAATCAACTTTCGACTATTCTATGTTTATCTTAGTAGCATGCATTAATTTGCTGTGATACCGTTTAATACAATTGCGGGCGGAAACTTTCCATGGTAATGTATTAGGTCCGCCGTTTTTTCCCAGTTTGCCGTAGGTTCAGAAAACTTCAAACGATAAGTTTCTGTTGAGGTTAAAGCGTAGAGATGAAGGTTCAATACGACAATTGAATACCGAGACGTCCTGTTAGATAGTTTCTGAAATATGAAGTGAATTGGAATTGAATATGCAATAAAAACAAAACCACTTTGCTTATCTATATCTAACCTTCAGTTCGTCCCATGTACTAGTTGCAGGTGAGTATATCGATAAATTCCTGTTGTACCTCAACATCATTGTATTTTCCTGAAGACTATCTAAAAAATTATTTGCCAGATCATCAATAGTATCTTTTCAGTAGTCTACTGCCAGGTATAGTAGAATGATTTTGCTAGATGTGGATTGTTTTGCACCAAAGATATAGAGATGTTTGTCATCCCCAAGTTTAAGATTTTTTCGTATTATGTCGCGACATCATACTGAGGAGAAATTATAATTCCTAAATATTTTGCAATTAATATTGCGCTTTCCACTGCGCAAACGTTTTACAGAATGAAAACAGACATATGACACTTAAATATATAGTAAAAGCACTGATGGATAAAAGTATTGTTCTTTCAGACGACTTTTGACCTATTTGTGGTGATAAGTCCCGAGAGTTTTTCTGTATGTAGGAATTTGTTGGTTGGACTGAAAGACTTATATTTTCAACAAGTGTATCTAAAAATATTTGTTGAGCTTGTAATGGAATGAAATACATTGGCTTAACCTTCTATATGTGTATACTATGATTATATATGGTAATATCGCACTCAAGATAAAGAATATTTGTAATTTTAATGTTCAAGGTTTAGTCGTAATATTTTTCGTGGCAACATAATGAGAAGAAATTAGAATTCCTGAATATTTTACAATGAATATTTGCCCTCCGAAAAACTATTACAACCGCACGTTGGAAAATAGAAATCGGACAATATCTTGTCAACTTTTGGACGTTGCGCCGGTTCAAACTGCAACATTTTCTTGAGTAAATTTATTGCTTTTACTTTGTTGCGGCTATTGTTGATGAGCAGATGACTGAGATCACGATTTTCGTTTTTCTTAATGTTGATGTTCCATCCGTCTGGATCTTGACCAAACGGATGTTCTCCATTACTGCATAATGCGTATATCACGATAGCCATCGAATAAATATCGGATTTTTTTAGAAATACCATCGGAAAGGTACGTTTCTGGAGACCTGTATTCATCTGTACCAGGACGTTGTACAATGTGGCGAGTAAATGATCGGCCATGACGAAGTTTTTTTGATAGACCAAAATCAGATATTTTAAGGCTTTGTTCATCGACTGACAACAAGACGTTGTCAGGCTTTATATCGCGGTGGATGAAGTCGTTGTGATGGATAAATGGTAAACCGTAGAGCAACTGCTGCGCCATAGACACAACCTGGTTGTCTTCAAATGAGACACTATTTTCTTTTCTTAACTTTAGAAAATCAGTGAGATTTTTGTCGTGGCAAAGTTCCATAACAAGGAACATTTTATCACTGACTGGTGTCCCGTAAAGTATACCGCAATGTATAAGAGTCACGACATTGGGATGAGATGTTAGCTTCAGAAGAACTTCTGCCTCCCGATAATTACTTTCATCAAAATCAAGTAACTTGATAGCAACATCTCGATTCCCAGCATCGGTTTGCTGTTTCCCGCGATAAACTTGTTTACTTCCACACAAACGTTGATTGCGGAATGCCCCGAACGTTCCATCGAGTTGAATATAATCTAACATATTATGTTGTGTTACTTATGTATAAAACAAATATTAATATCACATTATATTATAATTTGATAATAGATCATTTATAATATATATATATATATATCCAATAAAGAACAGGGTGTAATTAGGATATTGGGGATTTGGCATAATGCATATAAAAAAGGTTTGACATAAAGCTAAATTTCTCATTGCACATCTAAGAAATAGTGTGGTTTCCACGAACTAGTAATAATTTTCATAATTAAAATGCGATAAGATATCATCTTCATATCATGATTAGCCGTCAAGAAACAGTTGTTTAAATTGTATTTACTATTTATAAGAACTATATCACCATTTCATCATTTCCATCTCAATTTAGACACGTTCCGTTTATGTCAGATACTAACAATTACTGTTTGCCTTAGACTGACTTATAGTTCTACACTGAAAAATTAATAAAACCATCCAATGTTTTGTCGGCAGTAAGTACACTAGTAAGTTGTCTAATTGTTCTGAAAGCTCGTCTGAGTTTAACTGTATACTGATGTGATTGATATGTGTCGGATATTTTTGATAATACGTGTTTTATGTGTTTTTATCTCATTTGATATCTGCCAAATATCACATAGGCCTAGGCAAATAATTTTTTACTTAAAATACCTTGGTCACGGTCGTCATAAAGAAAGTTATGAACAAGACTTCGAATCTTGAAGATTGTTCCCGCTCGACCTGAACCAGGAAAGATTCTTGATAATTATTCATGGTTTGGCAACATGGCAAGGGGCAACAATAATAATGGTTGCGATCATATAGTTGAGAAATTGTCTTCAGCAGATGTTTTCATTTAGTTTTAAATATATATGCTTTATTTTACAAGTTATCAATTTATGTCTATTTTTTCTAGGGATCATTTGAACCGTTGCCGGTATGCATAATTGGGAACAAAGTATCCAGTATTTATCAACCATTGTCACGGACAAGCAGCAAGAAATATGTTACCAAATCATGGTCCATAAAGCGAGTGAAAAATTACCAGTATTTTGTTTCCATTTATATAGCATTTGCAATTTTTGTTCTTCGGTGGAACTGCAACAATCATTTACAATGTCTTCAATCTCGTCCTGACTCAAACATAATCCATATCTTGATCGAGCGAATCTTTTAAAATCGACAATTCTAGGAAAAGCTCGTACAATCTCGTCTTGAAACACGTCCTCGAAACGTTCTACAAGTGGATAAAAATATTTTCATGGGATTTACTATTCAACGCTTGTTTCCACATAATCGAAGTAGGTAAAATGAAGCACATAGTACACAGTTGCTTTAAATAGCAATAAGGAAAATATACGTTTAGCATAATAAAAATAAAACAGCATACCTTCAGCGATATTCATGCTTTTCCCAGAATTATAGATTAACTCTTTCGCTAATTTAACTGCAAAGTAGAAATGTGTAATGGAACTAATCAGCCATGTCAAAGCAAAAATTTTTATACATTAGAAAACTTGGTATTCGTAATGTGTTTTGCTCGTGTTTTCATTGTTCGATAATAGGCGCTAGCTCTTTTTTAAACGTAAAACGGTGCTCCTGAAGTATGCAAACCAAGATGGCGGACATCGGAACGTAACATGGGTAACAGGTTAGGGCTAGGCAATCATTTTTTTCCAATTTTCCTTATTTTAGTCCTATTATCAGTTCGAAGACTAGCCAAGAGCCTCCCGTAGTGTTTATAGCTAAAATTATGGCCTAACCCTAACCTAGTACACATATTACATTCCGATGTCCGCCATCTCGGTTCGCATACTTCGGGAGCCCCCGTAAAACAGTCCTACACATGGTATACTCTTTTAATGCCGTTGGTGCAAAAATGTTCAGAGCAATTGACTATGGTGAAAGACGTCGAGATAAATTTGAATAGCTCGCCACGCCACCTCTAGACACTGTCATAGGAACCGCCAACATCTTAAAACAAGAGAGCTACGCTTAAATGTATGGACACGTAGCGCCACCTAGTGACAAATTAGGATGACGCCATAGCACTCAAAACAACGAATCCAATGCAGCTCACCAGAATATTTGAAATAAATAAAAGTAATAGCTTTCTAGGAAAAAATTCCATCTTCATCCGCTGAAAATTCCAAAGCAAATGGTCAAGTAATCAATAGGAAAAGCGTTTTTTTTTTCATGGCGATTCGAAGAAGAATTCAAATAAGAAGAAGAAGAGTGCCAGCATAAGATCGTGCCAGCATAAAAACGATCGTTATGTTCACTTACGTGTCCAACAAGGAGGAAAATGATCTTCTCGACTTGACTTACAGACAATAGACTTGATTACTGAGCCTTAGGTTTAAAATTTAATATGAATGAAAAACATTATATTTACAAACAAGAGAGCTACGCCCAAATATATGGACACGTCTGTTCGCAGTACAGTACGGTTTACCGTACCGTCAGATCACAGTCTACAAATATATTCACACCAAGCGAAGCAGTACAGTAGGACACAAAATGGCGTCCGATTGCCGCAGAACGTTCGGTGACGTCATAGCAAACAAAAACAAATCTCACAGAGCTAACAGAAATATTTGAAATAAATAAAAGTAATAGCCTTCTGGAGAAAAATTTCATCTTTAATCACTAAAAATTTCAAAGCAATTGGTCCAGTGATCAAAGAGAAAAGCGGTTTTTTAATATTTCCACTAGGTGTCCAAAAAGTGTCAAAGAACAACAAGAACAACATAACAACAAAACGATCGTTATGTCCACTAAACGTGTCCAATAACTGACGTCGATAACAAGTACTGAAATTGGTGTACCGGATAGAATCAAAAATCATGTGATGCTGTCTGGGCCGGATTTAGACGATAAGAGGCCTGTGAAATATTTCATTTTCTAGACCCTTCCGATACATATCCTCATGGATTCGATTGTGAATTTATAAGAGGCCCTTAATTCAGTGGTGTTCGGAGTCGTCTTTTCTTTTGATTAAGCCAAAGTGACTATTATAGTCACTTTGGTTGAAGCGAGCGACTGCTGGTTACAGCAGATCGCCTCGAGATATTTTATGTATTTTTTTCTAAATTTATTTAAACTTATCCTGAGTAATTCAATGAATAGTCTTGCTGCACACTAACACAAAACTTATTTAAACTTAGTTCGACTTTTTCTTCCTTATAATATAGTGTTAGACTTATTTTATAGGTGCCGCTGCTCAATAACCAGTATTGGTTTCTCGCGTCTTCTTCACCCTTGAATATGGCCTATTTATAATATATTGCAATTTGTATGTTTGTGCCTATTTTAAGTATGGTGGGAAATAATCTACTGATTACTAATTATGATATGCTATATACATTATAAAGTCACAAACATATTATTACTTATGAAATTCTCGAACAATACTTCAAAATTTGGAATTCACTTAAAAATTAATAACAGTTCAAAATTGAATGGCAACGCCGCAAATGCTTGAGGCCTCTGGACTCCAGCATGTCTTGCCCAATGGTAAATCTGGCACTGGTTGCAGCTTTCACGACCGCGCGTAATTT